TGGGAGTTTATAGCTTCAGCATATGAATTTTGGTGGGACCCAATTCAGTCCATAGCATATGATACAGCATTCAAAGGGTTTCACAACTAGCCCTAAGTCACTTATTCTATCTTCTATATTATTTTATGCCAGTGAATTCAAGGGCTCCAGAAATATCACAAATAGTTTTTAAAACATACTATCTACTTTCATAGCACTCTCTTTGCTCATACTGTTCACTTGTTTGGAGAACTTTTGACCCTTTGATGCCTGAACTCTTATGGGTTCTTCAAATATTCTAGTGAAATGCTACTTCTGTTGCTAAGTCAGCTTGGACTTCCCCTTCTTTTCATTCATATCATTTTCCATAATTTTCCATTGAATTCAAATAGCCTGGGCTCAAATCTATCAAAATCTATAAGTGTGACCTTAATGTGGTTGTACTTCAGTAACATCTATAAAATAGGGGTAATAATAACATCTATTTCATAGGGTTGGTGTGGTGATTAGTGAGTATATGTATAAAATTCTTAGAGAAATGCTTGGCACATAATACATGTTAAACAAAGTGTTTGCTATTATTATCATCATCATTATTATTTATATATCATATTAAGTGAAAATAACCAGGACAAAAACATATTTTCATATTGTATAAATATAGGGAAATGGCTCCACTTTGGGACTCTAATGACTTTGCACATAGACCACATAGTCAAGGTTCAACTAGAGTGTAACCCAGCTCTTGTCAGAACATCCTGTGATCCTCCCGGAATATGGAAAGATAGGCAGTCTTTGAAGAACTACCTTAATGCTGTTTCTTATCTGCCTCTCTTCATTGTGGGAGGCTCTGTATTTTGCAGAAAGCTGCTGTGAGACAGTTTCTCATTCTACTCCCCAGTTCCAGAAAGGCATATAACTTCCTACCTTACTCCCCTGGGCCATAAATGAAGACTATAAAACAGCTAATTGGAGGCTAGAGTTGGCTTTTCAGCTGTAGACTGTCCCACTGATCCTGTTACTTGCCATTTGGTTTGATATCCTCTTGTGGGAAAAGGCATAAGAGGAGCTGACACTATACAAGTTGTGCTAATGTTGTGTAAGTAATGATCTATTTTCTTTTGGGGTTATTGTTTCCTTATTAGATCAATCAGTGAAAATATGGCAAGTCAACCTGATAGTTACCACTGCATTGCTGCTTATAGGTGGCTTAATATCTTGACAATAAACTCCTAGAGAGAAGGAAATTTTGTCTATTTTGTAATACTAGCACTTGGTCTATAGCATTTGTCACACAGTAAGTGTTCCATAAGTATTTTCTGAATTAAATATTTATAGCAAACAATGATACATATGTATTTGAAGATATACTGTCAAGGATATATATCAAACCCTTCACAGTGGGAGACTTGTGAGGAAGGATGGAGAATACAGACAAAGAATGAAAAGGACAAGAAAATACAAGGTAAAAGCCTCCTATTCATGAGGTGTAAAGAAAAGCATACATGTCACCTACACAGAAGAAGCCCTCTAGCTCTCTTATTATTCTTCCCTTAATTATATGAGTATTTGACACCTTGTAAGCCTAACATTAGTTTCTAAACTATAATATCAGGAGAAACTAAATCAGCATTCTTCTAACTTTGTTTCAAGGAGCCTCTGCTGTTATCATAAGATATATCTCATGGGTGGTAGTACTTTTTATTTCCCCAAGGTGATAGTACTTGTATATGTTTTACATGTGGGGTTTTCTCATAAAATTTTATTTGTAGAAAAGGCATATTGGTAAAACAACAACAGGAACAAATCTGTAAAGCACAGATTTAATTCTAGTGTGAAAATACCTACATGTAGATTAAGGCCAGGGAGACTAGGTAGCTACAAATTTAGGAGTAAAGCAACAGAGAATAACAAGAGTACAGGTAGAATTTGGATATTGAATCTTCTTGGGTTTGGGGTTAGAAGTTTGCTGAAGATACACATATTGTTAATTCAAAACTTTGTTTAGGATTATCAGTTTGATTTAAGGTCCATAAAATTTGCATTCTTGTTTGGAATATGGGGCAGGTAAAGGAAAGGGTGGCTTATGAATTTCTAAAGTTCAAATCACTTCTTGTACTTAAACACATTGTATTTCTATTACCTTCCTCAGCATAAGCAAGGACGTAAGCAAGGGTATTCTTATTAAAGTCTCTTGATTGAATTGTTACATACAGACCAGATCCAAGACCCAAATAAAATATTTAACCAATGTAAGGTGCAATTTTCCCACATTTTCATGTTTTTGATATTGACATGCATCACATAATGCATACACTTAATGTGGTATTGTGCCTATTCTCCTCTCAAACATTGTTATAAATAAATGGCACATTTAGCTAGGAATAGTGACATATGCCTGTAATCCCAGTGGCTCAGGAGGCTGAAGCTGGAGGACTGAAAATTCAAAGCCAGCCTCAGAAACTTAGCAAAGCACTAAGCAACTTAGTGAGATCCTGTCTCCAAATAAAAAATAAAAAGGGCTGGGGATGTAGCTCAGTGATAAAGCACCCCTGAGTTAAATCTCCAGTATAAAATAAATACAAATAAAAAAATAAGTAATAAATAAATGGCACATTTATAATTTGATGATGTCTTGAATTCAAGAAAATACTATATTATCAATAGAAATAATAATCATATAAGTTTGAGCAATAAACACTTGAGATGGGGTCAATAATCTCTTTATGTCTTACCAATAGGGTTAAGCAATGATGGTAAATAGCACCATCAATAAGCCTACAGGGGGGCTGGGGTTGTGGCTCAGAGGGACAGTGCTCTCCTAGCATGTGCAAGGCCCTAGGTTCAATCCTCAGCACCATATAAAAAGTAAATAAATAAAATAAAGGTATTATGTCCGACTACAACTTAAAAAAATTAAAAAAAATGAGCCTACAGGATAAAATTCAAACTACAAATCAGGCTTTATTTATTTTTTTAGTGCTGGTGATCAAATCCAGGACCTTGAACATGCTAGGCAAGTGCTCTACCTCTGACCTACATACCCTGAACCCAAATCAGGGTTTTAAATTGTTTTTTGAGAATAAGCTTACCAGTATGCCATTACCCACACTTATTCCTAATTCTTCTTGTACTCATTACTTACACAAATATAACATGCTATTTCATGCCTAGATACCTTTTCATGTGCTTTTACCTATTCTGCTTATAACTCCCTTGGAATGTTGTCTACTACAGAAATCTGATCCAACCAAATGGAGCTGGTTGATCCCTTTATGTTTTATATCACTTTGTACCTGAATATACCTCTACATATGTACTTACAAAACTGAACTGAAATTATTTATAGGGGTCTACCTCCTTTACTGTAAATTCCTTGAGGAAATGGACCATTTCTTATTTATCTTGTATCTTGGTACTCAGGACAGTGTTTAGTATGTAGTAGTGTTCACCAAGTATTTAAAAATTGAATAAATGGGGATGTAAAGCACTTGCCTAGCCTGCACAAGGTCTTGGGTTTGGTCCCAAGCAACACAAAAAAAGTTGAATAAATAAAGAAATAAGAGTAAGAAAGGAAAGTAAGAGGAAAAGAATGATATACAAGTGATAAAGTGCTATAGCACCAACAAATGTTTTATTTCCTGCTGTCCTTCAATGAGTGGTGTCCATGCCTTATCCAAACTCTCTGAACTCCTAGTAGATTTACAATTGACTTTCAATGAGTTTGTTAATAATAAAATTAGTTCATTTATGTTATCTTTGTCTCTTCAGTCAATTATAAATTCATTAGAGGGAAGGATCAGTTCTTCTGCATATACTTATTGAGTTTTACATAAACTGTATGTTCCTATTATGAGGTGTGATTTAGTTTCCAAGATTCATTATTCAAGATACCTTTATTATTAAAACTAGTAGTAGCAATTTGCATGAGAGAAATGGAAAGGCTCACAACAGATTTATTTATTTTGGGCCTAGAATTTCTCCAGAGCATAGAGCAATCCCCAACACTAGACATCGAAAACATAATTTTACAGTAATTTAGGAGAGAGGAATTTGAATATTACTGGTAAAACCCTGAGAACTAATTACTTCAAGATCACTTGAAATCTTAACTCATTAGAGTTTGAAAAATCTCCTGAGGTACTTAAAGTCACTATTCCCATTATTTTACTTGATTCAATTGAATATCTTAGATTTTGCTAATAAGAGAAAACTTGAAGTTCATGCCAAAGAGAGATTCCATTTATCATTTGCTTAAGGAAAAAAATATTAAGCATCTTCTATGGGCACCTCAGTATTCTATAATGTATTTTAAGAGAGGAGGAACAAAGATGGAAGGATAGCCCCTACCTCAAAAATGACTTAACAACAGAATTACTTATGTTTGCTGCCAAAATAATTCTAATTCTACACTCTAGATCAGACCCAGACTTTTCAATAAGATCATTAGGAGGATCAAATAAGCAGAAGTAAGGTGGTACTATTGATTTTGCTGGTATTATTATGGTTATTATATGGAAACAGCAACTTGGATGCTCCCCAACATGCTGTAGTGTCATTCAAATAAGGGAGTGAAGCAACGTTTTAGACATCTTCTTAGTAGTTTAAATCAGATGTTTAGAGGTAAACTGATTCAGGGAAGGTGATATTTCATTCTGATTGCCTGTCAGCATCAAAAGGTAATAACCAATCAGTCAGTATGCATGTGACAGCAGTAAGATGAAAGAACATTCAGTACAATCGGACCGCATGGTTTTAGTAGGATGACCTGTAATAATCATGTATTGTATCATATGATTTTACTATGTTTGTTTGTAAATCTTATCCAACATGTGTAAACTTCATTGGTTTTGTAAATGTCACCAATTTTAAACTGTCTGTCCCATTATTCCCCTTGTGCCTGAAACATGGTAACAACTATGAAGAATTTACATCATTGCCTATAATGTTATATATATAACAGTCAGTCAATTCAGCTGTAATGGTCATACAGACAATGGCAAAAGGGAGGAGAGGCTTACCACGAGCTCCTGACAACATGCTGTTGAAGAATCCTTTCTTGTCAATCCTAGGTATATATCCTCAGTTCCCACCTGCTGTTTGAATATAATCTCATACCTGAAAAAAAATAAAGTCAATTATGATAGGGACTCAAATGAAAGAGCAATTTCCTGTCACAAAGCAGAAAACTAGAAACATATGAGGATATGCTAAAAGGACTACATAAAATGCTTTCTTTTTAGTAGTAGAACAAAAAGGAGCAGAATTCTAGAAACACAGTAAAAAATACCAGACTCTAAAAAGCAGGATTATTATTTTGTACATACTTATTTTCTAAAATAAACCTTAACTCTTTGGGAACTATATGGATAAAATGGATTGGGGGGATTTCTAATAATATTATAATAAGATTAAAAGTAGAAGATCAAAAAAGGTCCATTCATAAAATACAATGGCTCAGAAAACACTGAGCCCATAACCCAGGATTTGATGGATAAACAGAAACCCACCTCTGCTAATTTTTAACCACAAAGTAAAGTTAGAAAATCCAGGTTTCATATTGTCTCTGTTAACTGTGTGACCTTAGTCAAGTTACAAATTCATAAGGTCTTGGCTTCTTTGCTTGTATGATTCATGGTAAGGGTGGGTGAAAACTAAATGATTTTTATGGTCTTTTCTATTTCCATAGTCCCACACTGGTAAATCAGCACAGCTACACTATGGCATATAGAAACCGATCGTACAGAATTTTTAATTCAATGAAGGATTTTCCTGTTATTTTATCCCACAAAGGCAATTCACAAATCTTTCCTTCCTCTTAAATTTGGGCTCTTCCTCTTAAATTTAGTGCTGATGATTGAACCCAGGGCCTCATGCATACTAGGTAAGTACTCTGTCACTTAGCAATACCTCTTGCCCTAAAATTTAGGGTTTTTAAAAAAATTTTTTAGTTGTTGGTAGACCTTTATTTTATTTATTTATATGTAGTGCTGAAAATTGAACCCAGTGCCTCACACATGTGAGGCAAGTGCACTACTACTGAGCCATAGCCACAGCCCCCTAAATTTTTTATGTTTATTTATATCCTAATGAAGAAATGGTAAATTTCTGAGCTGCAAGACTAGAGGACTAGAATGAACTTCTGACCATTTGCAAATAGGAATGCCCAAGAATAAAAAAGGGATGGGGGGGGTTAAATAGAACTAGAAATAAGTAGATATTTGATATAGGGCACTTGTCTCTTAATAGGCTATAATGTCTACCAATATTTACAAATGTTAAGCCAGGTTAAAATAAAACAGAAAGGATCATTCCATCAGCTCATGACTCCCAGATGGATTTGCTCAATTTCCTGCTCTTATCCTGAGTTTCCGATCCAATTTTCCAACAGCCTACTATATAGGCTTGCCTTCATGTCTCAAAGGCATTTCAGGGTCTACATATCTAACACCAAATTTACTGCTTCTTCTCCACCTACATACAATACCACAGTTAATGCATTCACCATTTTACTCAATCACCCAAGGTAGTAAGCCTAACATCATCTTAGATGCTCTCATCCATTTTATCTAATTATATACAAAACCTTCCTTCAAACTTGCTCAAATAAAGACCCCCATACTTTCCCCCAAGGTCAGGGTCTTAGCTCAAACCCTTATTATTTTTCATTTGGCCACTTATAAGTCTTCTTTTGTAAACAGTTTGTTCATGTTACCCATTTTCCTCTTTACCCACTGAGCATTTTGAAATTATTTTCAAAAGGTAAAACTTTCTGGGGCTGGGGTTGTGCCTCAGTGGTAGAGTGCTCACCTAGCATGTGCAAGGCACTGGGTAAAAAAATACAGATAAAAATTGTAAAAAGCAATGTTCCTCACATATTGAATGGAGTTATTAGTCATTTAAAGCTTTCACGAATGTTCTATCTAGAGAACCTCAAACATGGGGATGAAAAGTGAAAATGGATTCAAATTTGGACTTTTCTGCATTAGGACGTGTGATATTCGTAAGACAATGTGACAAATGAGTGACTTCTTAACTTTCATATGTATGTGTGGGCACTGTATAAACTTAACCTGAGATTTTCTTTTTTCATTCTTAAGATGCAGACAGAAATGTTGTATTAAAATCTCCTTTGATTTTTTACAAGGTTTATATTTTTTAGCATAGGTTATTTGAAAGCTGGATACTTCTTTCCCATTAATTACCCCCACTCTCCCACTGCTTCTGTTTTCAAAACTGATATAGAAGATACAAGCACTGTTTTTTTAAACGAATTAGACTGTTTTTTAGTCACAATTAGAAAAGTTGACAGATCACTTGCCATAAACGTCTTTAATAACTAATAAAGTACATTATAATTTTACAAATATTGCTTTTGTTTTTTGGTTTATCTATATACTCAAAGTTTTATATTAAATATATATGTATATATATATTTAATGCTTACTCTATTTAGCAATTAATTTCATCAATATATGCAAACATACTTTATATTCCTTAGAAGTATGAGGATTTTAAAAAAGCTGAAAGCCTTTTCTCATGATAATGTTTCTAAATTTTGTATCTAGAGTTTGATGGTATTGAAAAGGCTACAAGGCTTGAATTGTGTTTGCAAAATACACTGAATACTAAGCATAATCCTGAAATATTTAGTGAGTAAGTCTGGATAATAATTGATAATTGAAGGGAATACATAGCCTTTTGCTGAAATTGTAAAACACTGAGTAATTAAAATCAGGTCGTTGACACATAAACATGGTATTATAATTGGGTTTGTATGAGTGCTTGCAATTTAATGGGGTGATTTTCTCCTAGTGTTACTTCTATACTAGACAACAAACTGACATTAAATATAAATTTATAATGAAAATGACAATTTTTCATTTTTTTGCTTGATAAAACTGAAAGGAAGGTATTATGTTTTATTATTTGTTTTTGCCTTAAAAGGGGAAAAATGATCAATTATATGTGTCCTTCTATGTGTCCCTATTGTTTTATCTTTTATGTGGTATAAGCAATTATACATGCCTTCTGTGTGTACCTATAGTTTTATATTTTGTGTGGTATAAGTTACTTTATGAATTGTCAAAAATAGAATGATATCAGATGATACTTAAACCCTAAACACATTCCTGGCTTCACGTGACTTACTCTGGGATTTCTCGAACATCCCACATGTCATCATGCTCTGCTCCTTCTGGAACTTCTTCTGGATTCCAGATGTCCTCACTATTTTCATCACTGGTTTGAGGGATGGCTGTGAAAAAAGGGAAGATAAAGCTGAAGCTATGGCTTATTTTCCTTCCATGAAGAACATGGTTCGTGTTCTTCACACACTTTTTGGGATAATTGAAGTAAAACATTTTTTATTTGTAATCACTAGCTTGCTCTTTTGGCCTAGACAGGCTAAATTAGTAACAACTGATCTTAAATATTATCAGTACAGACCAATAAATTGTAGAATTATAATAATAATTGTAGAAAAATACATAAGCAAAAAAATAGATAATCTATAACCTAACTTCCTGGTGATAATTAATGTTCTCATTCTGATGTTTTATATCTTCCCAGTTCCTCTCTGCTCTCTCTCTCTCTCTCTCTCTCTCTCTCTCTATATATATATATATATATATATATATATATATATATATATATAAAATAGATATGACATATAGATATATATACAAAAGAAATATTGTACCTTTTCAGAAACAAACAGGATCACATGTAAAATATTTATATGCATATATAAAAGATAAAAATCAAACATATAATCAATCTGATTTAGATAGAAATGTGAACCTAGTATTGTGTTTTACTACATAAAACCCTTGAATACCTTTTCTATGCAAGCATGACATAACTTTAAAAATAATATCAATTAAGGAAACTTAAAACAGTGGTATGAGGATCATTTTTTAATCCAGTATTTTCCTCACATATACATGAGCTTTAAAGAAAATATGTCACTTCTTATCCTTCATGCAGAACTTTTGATTTTCTATGTCATCTTTAAAATATTTTAAAAGTAGACAGGCTCCAGTAGGTATGCAAAAATCCAGCTTACATTTGTTCTATTGCGGCATCAATGGGAACATGCATTAGGTACAGCACATACGAGTCCTTTCAAGTTTTCCCAGAAATTCACTTGATTGCCAGGTTTTCAATTCTGCCAGTTCTTTTTAAATTATCTGCTTCTATCTAGCATGGTCAAATTTATATAAAACATTTTACATGTGACTCATTGTCCTCAAAATTTAGAGAGTATTAGACTTACATTATCAGAAATAACAGACAACACAGAAGTACATCTGGATTTGAACTACTCTGCCATGTAGTAACTATCTCTAAGGCAAACAGCCTCTTGAATAATAACTGAAAATTTTAAATATCCTCAGACATCATTTTAGCCATTATTTTAAACATTTTTTCAGATAATATCTTTCACAATTAGTTAGATTAATGAATGAATTCATTTCTTCTCTCTGTCCATATTGTGGTAACTGTGATCATAACCAACAGAATTAGAATTTCCTATATTTTTTTAGTTGTAGTTGGATCCTTTATTTTATTTATTTATTTTTATGTGGTACTGAGGATTGAACCTGGGGCCTCGCACATGCTAGTCGAGTGCTCTGCCACTAAGCCACAACCCCAGCCCCTAGAGTTTCCTATATTTTTAAAGATTTGAGAAAAGCTCAATTCTGTGAAAATATATATACCAAAATGCTAGGAAAACATTACAAAATGTCTTTATTCTAGTTTTTGGACCCATGATTATTATCATTATTGTTGTTTTTTTGAAGGACTAGGGATGGAACCCAGGACTTCTATATGCTAGGCAAATGCTCTGCCACTGAGCTACCTCCCCAAACCCTGGACCTGTGATTTTTAAAATAATTCCATGAACTTTAATTCACAAGTATCAATGTAAGATAAAATTGTGTGGTAACTTGTTTTATTGTTTTCTCCAAAAGCCTATTAGCTCAAACAAAGCAGGGACTATTTTGATATCGGTATTGATCACAGTCTCCGAGATGATCATACTGCCTGGCACATAATAGGCTCTCATAAATATTTATTGAATGAATTAATAAGGGAATTGTGTGAAATTGCCAGAATATGGAAGAATAGAAGGTGAAGAAGCTAAGCAACTTGGGAAAGAGACCCTAAACATTAAAATGATTATCTAATCATACATGACTTTCTTAGTCACATGTCAGAAAATATGTCAGTGTGGATAATTCAAGGCAATGATTTTGCATTATTAGGAAAACTGCTTCCTGCCACAGTAGAGTAAAAACAATATCACAGAATCTTTATGTGTAAATGGCTATTCATCATTTCCATGAATATTTCTTTATCTATTTTTTTTTTTTTGGTACTGGGGATTGAACCCCGGAGTATTTAACCACTGAGTTATAACCCCAGCCCTTTTTTGTATTTTATTTAGTCACAGGGTCTTACTGTTTTGTTTAGTGCCTTGCTGAGTTGCTGAGGCTGGGATTATAGGTGTGGCACCACTCCCAGCTTCTTTTTAAAAAAATATTTTTTTTATATTGACAAATAAAAATTTTATATACTGGTCATGTACAGCATAATGTTTTGAAGCATGTAAACATTGTGTAATGGTTAAAGCAGGCCAAATGGCATATACATTACCTCATATACTTTTAAAAAATTTTATATTCCTTTTTAAAAAATACTTTTTTAGATATTGATGGAACTTTATTTTTTTTCATTTACTTATATGTGGTGCTGAGAATTGAACCTAGTGCCTCACATATGCTAGGCAAGTGTTCTACCACTGAGCCACAACCCCAGCCCTCATACACTTACATTTGAGGTGAGAACACTTAAAATTTACACTCATAGCAATTTTTAACTATGCAATACATTGTTGGTTAGGTCATCTTAATAAGTGCTAATTTTGGTATTACTCTCCGTTTAATTCTGCTACCAAGTATTTATATTGATTATATGGATCAATACTGCTTTATTAAATAACTTACCATTGAGCTCTTCTGATTTTGGTGGTCCAATATTTCCAGGACCCATGGCTCCAATAGTAGATGAACAGTTTGACTGGGAAAGAAAAAAAAATCCAACATTCTATACTACTAGTTTAACTATATGACTAGTAATACTTTAAATCTAATAAGGTTTCCATCTAAAAAGCTCATAGAACTTTTCAGTTTAATTATTCATCATTGTTATACAATAGAGAAACAAATACCAAGTATGATTTTGAATGTGTTTTCCTAGTCCTTTCAAAAAGTATTCAGTTTAATTGACTCTGGGGCAGAATTGATTTCTGGTCAGACTAAATCCCCTGTTCTAATTCAGTGAACCATCCATCCCTGGGGATAGGGGAATGAGCCACATTCATCTCCATGAAGGTTAGAACCAAGTGTTAGCAGAAAAGCATTGACACTTTTGGATTTGGGCACTATATCATTGTAGGAAGATGGGGGATAGAAATGTAGGAAAGTTTTATAGAAATAAAACTAAGAAGTAACTAGAGGTTAAATATTCAGACTTCCAAAGACCCATTCAAAAACCTTGACAACTTTCACTGTTTTCCTCTATGAGTATGAAATGTTTCCTCTTCCCACCACCTCATGACACTGAACTAGTGGATTTATACAGCAACCCCCATATGAATATTGTCAAATACATGCTGATCCACATTATTGTACATACATTTTTATTTTACCATCTTCTGCCCAAGCTTTTATAGTACAAGAGAACTGACCCTGACTCCAGAACAAGAACGGTCTTCATTTTTTCAAGTATTACAACATCAATATAATGGTAACCACCTCATTGGCCTCTCAGGGATTCTTTGGTATTTCAAGAAAGTTCCAACTTCTTACTAATTGTTTTTGGTGATTTCAGGGTCTGTAGCTCAATTCACTCCATTGTCAAATATTCTTATCTCCCTGGGTCCTGACAAACTAGCACCTCTAGTTCTCCTTTCTCAGGCCCCTGCTCTCATCTCCTAAGATTTTATACATGTTCAAATGTTAGAATGTCCTGTTTGGGCAAGGGGAGTGTGTCTGTCCTTGAAAGCTCATAAGAAAAGTTCAACTGTGTCTTTATTATGCTAAACTATTCCAACAGTTATAAATCAGAAATTAATCCATAACATCTCAACAGTTTCTGAAACAGTAAGTATTCTTTTTCAAAAAGAAGATTCAAAACTGCTATGTCTGCCGTTAAGGCATTACTGACATTTTTATGTGAAAATCCCAAGACAGTATTCTGGGTAATTTTTTTCTTCTTTGTAATCACTAAGATCATATAAATGTGCAGTACCTTTATTAAATTATTAATCATCAGAATACTAATAGTCAATCAGGGCAAAGCATTTCTTGGAACATGAGGACCTCTTGTTTTGTTGAGTGCCTCCTTCCACTGAAAATTAAAATCAGTAGAAATAAAACTTTGAACATTCCTGAAAAAAATTGGTATGCTCCTCATGGAAAGTGATGATTAGACCAGAATGTCAGAACATAGGGGGCGTCATGATTTATTAACAATGAAAATAAATGATTAAAAATAAAAATTACAAGTGAAAATATGGAATGAGAAAATAAAAACATTAAAAACCATCTGGAAATTGTTTTCTATAAGGACATCCTTTGAGTCTTTTTTTAAAGAGAGAGAGAAAGAGAATTTATATATATATATATATATATATATATATATATATATATATTTTAGTTTTCGGCAGACACAACATCTTTATTGTATGTGGTGCTGAGGATCGAACCCAGGCCACACGCATGCCAGGCGAGCACGCTACTGCTTGAGCCACATCCCCAGCCCATCCTTTGAGTCTTTATCATGAATCTATAGCCAATTATCTGAGCAATTTATTATTTCAATTCATGCCACTGTGCAATATATAAGAGAGTTTGAACATCCTTGTCATAATGTCTGTGAAGAGAGGTGAACCTTATTTCTCATAGGCCTTAAAATCTCCTCAGGAGTTTGAAAAACAACACACATACTCTCTTACCAATCTCCCTGACTCTTAACAATTCATTTAGAAGAGGGATAGTATAAATGAACCAATGTGCATGCAATGGTTCTCTTGCTATTTTCAGAGAGTATATTTTCAAAAACATATCACTCTTGTAATCATTTCACAGTTCCCCAGATTAATACATGTTAAAAAATGAAAGACAGTTTCTCTCCTGGAAAATTTAATAGTTCATTAGAAACATTAATTATTCTCCTACTGTTCTGATACTTTAATTCTATACACTCTAATGATATCTGTACTGTGGTGTCTGAATGACCAATTATCTCAAAATTGCTTATAACCCAGGTATACAGAATCATACATTATTATAGTAATTTTCCTTTATAAATTGTACAATTTGGTAAAATGATGTTACAGTCTCTCTGTTCTCATAAACATCTTTTTCTCCTAGAAATACCTCTATATGCAAATAAACATCACTAGACATAAACACCAAAGGGAAAAGGCTTTGTAACCAGGGTATATCCTTATCTCTATTCCAATTATAAGATCCATTTTACTATATTCAAGATCACTGTCTCTCAAATATTTGATATACTTATTAAATATTGCATAACCCTAACTTTCTCAAGATTTCAACTTCAGAAAATTATCATTCTGCTATTTCAAGGTATCAAAAATGAACTTGCTTTCCCAACATCATTGATACATTGCTCCTTTTTCCTTTTTCTCCTGTATATTTTTTGTATATATGTGTGTTACTTGTGTATATGTGTGTGTTTCACACTAGTATTTCTTTGCTAGGATCTACTCAGACTTTTCATTTACTAAAACTTCCTGGTTCCAAGATAACTCAGTTTCCCTGTCTACAAATATAAATGACAAATGTGGCTATTTTATTTCCATTTCATGACTTATTTAATTCTGCCCTGTTCCACCTAAGCTCTTCCTTGAGGGCGAACGCTCAATTCTATGTCTGAGTCATTGAATTTATATCCTATTCAGAATATACTTGCTTTTCCACACATTGGCCAAAAGGAATTTTTGGAGGAGTAAACTGATATGTATGTTCATGGAAGATGATTTATTCATAGTCACAATAATTAAAAAACTCATTGAATTGTTTTATGTAAATTGACATATTCTATTACATTATGAGATTTCTGCCCTAAAATTTGTCTTATTATAAACAGTCTGATAACCAAGGTTCACTGACATTTAAGAAGTGGAGAATGGAGGACAGATTTTTTTTTGTTTCGGTTATTCTGAAAATAATGGCAGTAACCTTGGAGTTGCCAAAGCTCAGTTCAGGGAACCCTTCTCTTCCCCAGTGAAGCCCATCTTGCTGTTGCAAGGCTCAATGATGTTATCTGTCCTGAACCCAAATGCTATACAGCTAATTTAGACATGTACTAGGAAGTTGACCTTAGTAGGCCCAAACAAGTTTGTCCTATTATTTGGCTCAAAATATTTTGTTCTGTTTTCATATTTACACAAATTTTTAAAAATCAAAGAACTGGCACTTGGGGGGTCCAATTAATACTGTATAATTAAAAAATACTTGTTTTATAGAAATACTGTCTAGGCAAAAATAGTCCTAGCTACCACTCTGCAATGGTTGTCAAGCATTCTTTGACCATAAATATAAATGACAAACGTGGCTATTGCTACCATAGTTACAGAACTATTTTCCTATTCAGTGTTCAGGTGGTTTAGAAAAATATAATTATGTTTGCTAGAAATGTACTAGAGGTTATACTCTCATGCATAATCAGCCTTGCATCCTCCTGTGAATGTATCAGATGACACAGCTTTGCTCCCACAGCAAGGTGGGAACAAGTTGTTCAAATACAGCTCCACAACTTCACTGAACGGAACTAATTGATCTGTAAGTATATGACCACCTGTCCAAAGTCGAAATCATCCTCTTCTTCGGGATAAAGTAGATTGGAGAGGGCTTCCAGAGTAGAAATTGAAGAAATAGTCTCAGTTTCCATATTTTCAGATTCAATATTTTCTGTTTCCATATTTTCAGTTTCTGTATTTTCAGATTCCATATTCTAAAGAACAAGATAATCAGAAGTAAATATTTTACTTTTCTGTTTTATTTAAGACATAAAGATTTTTTTATTGTCATATCTCCCTTCTTTCACTGGGTCACTCTATTGTCTCTTATTTGAAAATATTTGTAATCTACTTTAGATAGATACATGTATTTTGCTAACTCACAGACCTGGGGCAGCAAGTAAACTCAAGATTTCAGCCTGCTTTACTAAAACTTCTTATTCAATCTAACAAGCACTTCACCTACCATACTGGTTCTCAGGTTTTAGTGTGCTTCAGAATCACCTCAAAAAAAAAAAAAAAAAAAGAATCACTCAGGAAGTTGGATAAAGATGCAGATTCTTACAGGTTATATACCATTACTTGAGAACATACATTTTTAGACTATATCTGTTTCATGTATGCTATTTAGGCTACATATTCCATTTAGTGAATGGAAAAAAAAAAGCTGTTGCTTCAGGGATATGCCAGACAACCTTTATTTAGTTCACACTTTTGCCTCAGATGAGCCTGTTCCTATCTGCTTTATTTCAGTTCCTTATTATTATTATTTTTTTGGGTCATGCTAGGAATGGAATCCAGAGCTTTACACAAGATAGGCAAGGGTTCTATCACTGAGCTCTGCCACCAGTTATCCCTCTTTAAAATTTTGAGACAGGGTCTCACTGAATTCCCAGTCTGGTCTCTGACTTGGGATCTTTCTGCCTTAGGCTCCCTGGCTGGGATTATAGGTGTGCACCACCATGACTAGCTATTTCAATTCTTAATTAACCCTAGTGACACCTAGCATTATATTTCCATTTGAGATCTCTAACAGGTTGTTTCATTTACTGTAGTGAAAGTTAACACACAATGAAATAATTGTTTTTATGATTTTAACACCAATACTACATATGTCTGGTGTGGAAAATTTTGGAAATAACACATTAAAGTATAAACAATAAAATTACAAATATTTAAAATTCTGACATCAGTATTTTAAATAATCTCTGTAGTTATTTTTAGAGTAGGGCTATTCAGGATCTTTAAAAATCTCAGAGGTGTCAGACTATAATGAATAACCTGAAAAAAGACTGTAGAATTAGGCCTATTGTTAGTGATTTGGACATAACCACAATAGGAATCTTTCTACATTTCTGCTGATATTTTTAAAACATCATTTTATAAAATTAACTCTCATAAAACATTTCTTTAATTCTTTTATTAAAATGATCCATTAAATTTTTGCATTGTGCCTAGAAAGGTAATACAAAGAGATTCCTAAGTGTATGCTGGTATAGTCTCCTGTCATAATCAATCTGCATGTAGATGGTGTTTGACAGATCTTCTGTTTTATTATTATGTTTTACTTTTATTTTGACTTTCTTTGTTAAATATAAAACTTTCCTTAATATCTATTGGAGATGTCAAGGATGAAACAAATATTAAATTGCCCCACACCTCTAGCATATAGGCAATATATCACAAAGATTAAGAGTAAAGGTCCTGGGGTTACGCTGCCTTGATTTGTATCTATCATTTACTTCTTACCTTTGTGACCTTAGCACATTATTTAAGCTCTTTATACCTAAACTCCTTTATCTGCAAAGTGGGGATAATAATAGTGTCTATCTCTTACAGTTGTTATAAGGATTAAGTAGCTTAATGCATGTAAAAGAGCTAGGATTGTGCTTGGCACATAGTCAGACTCAACATATTAATTCTTTAAAAGTTTAATTTTGCTGGGCATGAATATGATTTCCAATAATGATGTAGAATAAGTTAATGATAAAACTCATTACATTGGAAACTCATTAAATTGGAAAAGGTGAAATAAAAGGTGATAAAACAATTTTCTTTCTCAGTATGGTCTGGCAGTCCGCTATGGTAATGAATAATTGACACATATTAAATTAAACAAAGAGGATCCTGTTTATATTTTAAAATTCTAAGTTGATTGTGTTCATTAAATATTTACCTAATATTAAAGGCAAAAAGTTTATTGAAATATTCTCTACCTCTGACAATGAAAGGGAATAGTGCCTTCAGATATCAGTTATAATTAGTATTTTGACATGTACAATGAGATGTTGAAGAACAAATATAGCAGAAATTGTTTATTATTCCAGCACCTTACTTACTTTATAGAACTATTGTGATGGTTGAATTACACAACTTAGGTGAAAGAGTTTGCTAAAATATGGAAAGCTACATAAAAATTATTTTCTGGCCCTACTGCTAAAACCCACAGATACTTGATCATGAGGCTTGTGAGAGTTCAATGGTAGACTAACTGGTGAGAGGAGAATAAACTGGTACCAGTAAAGCTAACTCAGAAGAAAAGCCATCATAAATTCCAAATACAGTGTCTGAGGTAACACTCAGAATAGCTATTCGTATGATTTTATCTGCTTGGCAGATACATGGCAGCAGGAGTTTCTGGACATGAGCAGTGCTTTAGGGCAGAAAGGTAGAATAGTCATGGTTACAAGGAGATGTATTTATCGTGAAGTAGGACCCTGTCCCATCGGTGGAAATATTGAATTTAGGGTCTACTTTTGAGAATTGTTGGGGAGTGGGCAGCTAGATGAAGGTTCCCATAGGAAAAGAAAAAAGCCAGGCATAAGTCAGGCTTGTGGTATTACCTGGGTACCCACAGTAGAGATTATGAAGGAAGGCTGTGTGTTCAATGGGTGCACTAGATGTAGGATTTAGGAGAGACAGATTAATTGAAAATACCTATGAGTTAGTTGGGAAGAAACACGGACCCTGAGTTCTCATTTAGTGAGAGACAGGGCAGTGTGGACAGTGGGAGGTTATAACTGTAGGCTGAAAATCTTCAATAACTAGAGCTGGTACACAGTCAGCAGTTTATGAATACTGAACGAAGCATGATTAGATTCATATGAATTTGGTATTTGAAAATAGTCATCTTGGAAGGTTATACATTGATGTAAATTATGCTATCAATGCTTAAAATATTTTGGAATTTTCCTTTTCTTCTGAAATTGTTCATATCTCTCTATATTATTTTTACTAAGAAAACAGGTATCATTATGGTATCATTCAGTTTGATTATATATCAAATTTGTCTCCAAGTGATTTCTACATATATCTAGATATCACATCTACTTTCAAAATATGAAGATTTGCTTCTCTGAGGATATTCAAAACAATGTGCTACAGGCCTCAAGGCAATTCTAAAAGAGTAGTTTCAAAAGTAATTTGAGCAATAGCAACGTCATTAGAATAAGTAGATTAGCCTCCCAAAGTGACTACTTCAAAAGGGATACCAATCCTTAGGAAGTATGTATTTGGATTTGTTAAACAAATCATTCACAATAATTCTTACTAATACTTTATATATTTCAAGCATATTATGAACTGAGCCACAATTGGATTTCTCAATTATGCTGGCATAAAATGACATAGACTAGCACTCTACCTAAATTAGAGCAGAAATATAATAACAAAATTAGCACTTTAGCAAAAATTATTTTTACTATATCATATAGAATAATAATATGTAAACACAATAATAAGTTATGACAAGTTTGTTGTATTTTGAGAAACAAAAGAATCACAGATATTTTGTATATACTAATTAAATAGTTCAAGATATCAAAAGAGAAAAACAGTTACATGATTTGGGGAAAAATTCTAAATTGAATGAAAATTAAGATCTTCCATAAGTTTAACAAACCAAAATTATATTTTAAACTTTAATAAAAACATTTATTAATCCATTTTTCCCATTGTCCCAGATGTGGAACACCAATAAAAACTTAAATTGAACAACAAATATCCCACTTAATTTAACTTTTAAATAATATTTGAATATTTGTGATGTTCTGAGAATTGAAAACTTAGGACTTAATGAGTTAAAATTCATTTTACACAAATAGATGATATTTTTAAAAGCAAAAGAATATGCGTTTTGATGAATTATTTGTAAGTTTGAAATACATTTAAGTTCACCTTGAGTCTCGCAATCATGACCCTTTACGATATAGCTCCAGTCTCATATTCTAAACCCTTCCCTCCTATTATTATCTTATATTTGTTCTCTATTCTGTCAAAAACTGAACAGTTTATTAAATATACCCTATAATCTCCTGCCTTTGTACTTTGGAGTATATTCTTCTACTTGTGTAGTATAGTGTAGTGATAGAAAAAGATTCTGGAGCCACACTGCCTGTGTTTGTGGCATTGTCACTTAAATAGGCCAAGAAAAACTTTAAATTAGAGAAAATTTTAAGTAAGAGTTTCAATAAAACCAAAATACAGAACTAAATATTTTATTTGATATTGTGTTATTTAAAAAGTAAATTTTTCTGCTGGATGTGGTGGTACATGCTTCTAATCCTAGCAACTCAGGAGGTTGAGGCAGCAGGATCATAAGTTTAAAGTCAGCCGCCTCAGCAACCTTAGTGAGACCCCGGGCAACTTTAGTGAGACCCTGTATCAAAATAAAAAAAAAATAAGGGTTGGGGACTTGCTTAGCATGTGAAGCCTTGGGTTTGATTCTCAGCACCACTAATAAATAAATAAATAGGAGTGGTGATGTAGTTCAGTGGTGAAACATCCATGGGTCCAACCAAAGAAAGAAAAGAAGGAAGGAAGGAAGGAATTTTAGGCCCTGTGTTTTTCTTTCTCTTATTTTGCTAAGCCAATGCCAAGGAAATCATTGTCCAGGCAAAGCCTTTGTTTTTCCCACATCAATCTGAGCTTTTAGGGTCCTCACAGATAAAAGTAGTTGGGAGATCTATCTTGGTAGTAGCCACAACTGGCTTAAAAACAGATACTGCAGAACCAGCTCATTAACAGAACACTAGAGCCAGTTAGGTATTAACAAAGTTGAATCAGGGTGGCTTCAGACCCATAGTATCAAAGCGGTTATCAGTAACTTTTGGATCAAGTCAGTTCAGTTGTGAGGTTGAGATCATGCTATTTTGTTTGTCTCTGTCCATAGTAACAATAAGGATGACTTTCTGGTACATGCCTATAATCTCAGTGACTCAGGAGGCTGAGGCAGGTGGATTACAAGTTCAGGGCCAGCCTTGGCAATTTAGTGAAACCCTGTTTCAAAATAAAAAATTCAAATGTACTGTGGATTTAGCTGAGTGGTAAAATGACCTTGGGTTCAATCCCTAGTACTAAAAAAGAAAAAAAAGACGTAGGGTGTATAATGCTAGCTACTCTAGTGGCTGAGGTAGGAGCATTGCAATTCAAAGCCAGACTCAGCACTTTAGAGAGGCTCTGAGCAACTTAGCGAGATCCTGTCTCAAAATATAATAAAATAAGATAAAATAAAGTAAAAATTAAATTAAAAGGCCTGGGGATGTGGCTCAGTGTTTAATGGCCCCTGGGTTTAATCCCTGGCACCAAAAAAAAAAAAAAAAATACTCATTGATTTTAATTAGAAAAATGTCTAAATTAAATTAAGATGCTAAATTATAGATTTTTTAAAGTGATATTTTATTAATTCAAGTACATATGGTAAATAAAATCAGGATAATAAAAAATCATTAAATAGCATCCTTTTGGAATTTACTTAATAGGTTAAAAAATAACAACCAAATTCTGACTGAATTATAATTATAACTGAATGACATCAAAGTATTCAAGATCCATTTATTCTCTAAATAAATTGGGCGTTTCTTCTGCAACTTTATTTATATAATGACTTATTTAGCAATTTATGCATTCAAATTCTTCTGGGAACACAAAAGTAAACATCATCTCTGCCTCTGTGTGAATTAAATTATAACATACTGGCTTGCTGGTTAATTGCTTTTTTTTTTTTTTTCATTGTGCTGAGGACAAAACCTAGGATGTGGCACCTGCTAGACAAGAACTCTACCACTAAGCTATACCTCCAATCCTGTTTTCATTCTTCTTTTCACATGTTTTGAAAACTATATTCATCAGTAATTCCCTTCAAATTAAAGTACTTCATTTGAGGCTGGAGGTGTAGTTTAGTATGCACTAAGCTGTGGGTCCAACTCACAAAAACATTCATTTTGAGTCTTTTACAAAACCCAATAACAGTTTCCTTTTAGGTTTCTAACTTTTCCTACTATCAAACCAACTCATAAGTAGCTGTGGAAACTTAACAAAGCTTTTGTCACACATTTAATGGAAGATTGATTTTTTTTGCTCTTTTCATTTCTTTTTTTTTTATTAGCTACACATGACATTACAATGATCTTGGCAATTCATACATTTGAATCATTGGGGTATAATTTCTCATTTTTCTGATTGTACAGATTGCAGAATCACACTGGCCATACAGTCACCTACATACATACAGCAATCATAATGTCTATTTTATTCTGCTGCCCTTCCTACCCCCTCCCCCTCCCCTCCCCTCCCATCACTTCTCTCTATCCAAAATGGAAGATTGATTTTTGAAAGTGCCTGGAATCTTTTATAAACACAAACAATTAACCTCTTTTAACATTTTCTCTGTTCTTTATTTTAACCATAAGGAATCTATACCATTCCAATTGTTTTTTTGGTCGATGTTTCTTCAGCACTGGGGATTGAACTCAGGAGTGGTCTACTACTGAGATACAACCTCAGCCCTTTTTAATTTTTATTTTTCTGAGGGTCTCACTATGTTGTTTAGGCTGGCCTTGAACTTTCCATCTTCCTGCCTCAGCTTCTGGAGTTGCTTAGTTTACAGGCATGTGCTACTCCGTTTGGTGTCAACAATTTATATTTTTAGGTGTCCTATATATTGGATGCAGGAACATAATTAGTTAAACAATCCTTCCCAATTCAACCTCCTGAGTACCACCATGCCCAGCTTTGAAATGTGAGGTGTTTTTTTTTTTTTAAATTTTAGTTGTAGATGGACAGAATACCTTTATTTCATTTATTTTTATGTGGTACTGAGGATAGAACCCAGTGCCTCACAGATGCTTGTCAAGCACTGTACCACTGAGCCCCAACCCCAGCCTTTTTTTTTTTTGTACAGGTGATTGAACCCCTGGGGCACTTAACCAGTGAGCCACATCCCCAGACCTTTTTATGTTTTATTTTGAGACAGGGACTCACTAAATTGCTTTGGGCCTTGTAAATTGCGATGGTTGGCTCTCAACTCAGATCCTCCCACGTCATCCTCCTCAGTCGCTGGGATTACAGATGTGTGCCTCCAGCCCCGCTTAAAAGTGTGTTTTTATGTGGAGATGAAAATCCTTAGTTTCTATAGAATTCCCTCAGACTTACCAAAAGATGTGTAGTACATTTCAGAGAATACACTTGGTATTCATTTTTCTCCTTGTTTCTCTCAAGTCTTATATTCTTGTATCTCTTTTGGGGGGAGGGGTATTGGGAATTGAACCCAGAAGCGGTTAACCACTGACCCCCAACCCCAGGTCTTTTAAATATTTTATTTACAGACAGGGTCTTGCTTAGGGCCTTGCTAAATCCCTGAGGCTGGCTTTGAACTCACAACCTTCTTGCCTCAGCCTCCAGAGCTGCTGGGTTTAAAGACGCGCGCCAGGCGCCCGGCTCCACTTAGGTCTAAATGGAGATTAATATAGCAAATCTTTGGTCTGGGCTTGTGGCTCAGCTGAAAAGTGCTCACCTACCACTTCTTGTTAGGCCCCAGGTTCAAATCTCAGGACAACTTCAAAGTAAACAAGTAAAAAATAAAGGCGTGTAAGTAAAAGAAATCAATATTAAGGAAAAAAGAGGGCAAGTTTTCTTTTTAGAGCTTTGAAATTTTCTCCTCAACAGTCCTGGCTTCGTTTTCTGTCGTTTGTGCTCTTAGGAGAAACAATCCCCCTGTCTCCAGGCCAAACTCAGTTCCCTCCTCTGACTCAGATTCTTTTTTTTTTTAATCTAATTCCCCTCTTTTTGAAAGGAATAGTCAAACGACATAGAATACTTACTCCCTCAAATCAGCCCTTGGCGAATAGCAGGTTTTGTAGGAACAAGTAGTTTTGGCACACCACACTCTGTCTCACTAAGTGCGAATCTAACCGCTCCCTTCTCCTCATCCGGTTTGACCAAGTTCAGTTGGAACTCTGAGGCCACAGCACCAAAATTCTCGCACACAGGTCATTTGTTCACGCAGCAAGTGGAAAGGTTCACGTTTTTCGGTCTCAACAGTGTTATCCACGCCCCCTCTCCCCACACATCCCAACCCAGGCTGCAGCTGCTCCACTTGGAGCACATGGATCTACATATAAGGAAACACGATTTACACCCTCCAATTAGCCAACCTGAGGGGAAGGGAGAACAGCTAAGTGTGTGAAAGCCGAGGTAGCTAATTGGAAAGTCTTCAGATGTTTATTTTGGCTTTTTGATAGTCGGTCGACCAGCACCCATACCTTGTATGTTACTTCCACGTCTCTCACATTCTGAGACTGAGTTTTGTTAAAGAAGCACCCGGCTTCTAGTGCCTACGACTGAGGGATTGAGGAAACGGTTCACCTCTACTTAGTGCAACTTGTGGCTTTTTGAGTTATTTCTTAGAGTCTCAAGTATCTACAGTTCTCCCAGATAGTCACAGCATCTGAGGACCCTGTTTTTCCCCCTCTTGAGGTTCGGATTTCCTCACCTGGGTCAGTTTTCGGGTCGCTGGCTAGGCTCCGAAAATAGCGGAGAGCTCTGCGTCTCTCAGTTGCCTGGGTAACAACTTGGTTACCCTTTCCCCCGCTCCCCCCTCCCCCTTTCCGCACACCACCACCTCCGGCCTTCCCGCTTGACCTCCCTGGCCAATCATAGAGGGGTCTCCTTTAAAACAATACCAGAATCAGCCAATCCGGGTGCGTCCAGGTCGGGTCAATGGCCGCCCTTTCTAGTTAAGTAGGTCGACCCCAGTTAAGCCTCAGTAGCGGTTAGCGTCTCTTCAGCTTGAGAGTAGATTGTTTCCGGCTCGCGTAGGTCTGGGTCTGCCTCTGGTGGCTACACAGCCTCGGAGGCCAACCCGTTTACTTTACGGACGGGACAGAAAGCAGCGACTGCTACTACGGTAAGTTTGCAGGACTTTCGTTGGTAGGCTTCTGTCACCATGAAGCTTTTTTGCCCTGTGAATTCCAGTTCTGAGGACCCAGTCACACGCACTTCTGCAGCAGCGGGAGTAGAAGGGTAGGGTCGGTGGGCCAGGAGTTGAGAAGGATTTGCTTGGCTCTGAACCTTGTTCCCCCAGCCCCCTCCCTCTGACAGAGACACGTGTCATTCTTCTGTCGCCGCTCAACGCGCGCGTCTGTGTAAAGTGAGGTCGCACTTTTTCTCTGCTTGGGCAAGCCTTCGTGGCCTGAAGCCCCAGGGAAGTACTGGTTCGGCTGCTGTGAGGCACCTGTGGCGCACAAGTAATAACCGCGCATGGCCCCAGATCCTGAGAAAATCACCAGACAGACTGCCCTGCTTTTCCCGCCTTGTAACAGAGAAACGCAAGCGCGCCTCCCTCTTGCCACTGCTTGGGAATTTGGGTGTCTTAGGGGTAGAGTTATATCCCTAGTTTCCCTGCAGTGCGCGGTTTGATTTTAAACAAAGGGGAGGGAGGGATGGGGCAATAATTATTTAGAGTTTCCTGAACTGTCTGTGATTAATAATTGGGCTCAAAACACATTGTTTGAATGTTACAAACCAGGAGAGACAGGATGAGTTTCATGATTAGTTGCTTTTAATAACTGTTGAATTTTGGATTGGAATTTGATTAGAATGCACTGAACTGTTTCCCTTCTCTCTGATACCATGCTTTTCTTAACTTCCACCCCATCTGGCAGAGGTGAGGGTGAAGTTTGAGTAATTTGTCCATTCTGCTTATTGTTGTCTAAGGTGAGCAAACAAACAAACAAAAAAGGGGGTTTGAATGTTATTCACTAAAGTAAAGTTATTGGCTTTTTGGCCAAATCATCTATACCATAATTCCTTTATTACTGCGGGTGATCATAGTTTATGTGTCTTGCATTTTGTTAATTTTCTAGATATTTGTAGAACTTAAGTTATGTGTTATGCTATCCTTTTTTTCTTGTGTGTGTGTGTGTGTGTGTGTGTGTTTAAGTCTGCTTCAATACACGTTATTCTAAAGTCTAAAGTGCCCAGCCAGTGTTTCATATACCTTTTGGCCATGATTCACAGTGAGAAATAAATTTTATTTTGTGGCTTCAGGACATATATACACTATATAGAAATGACGACTGTTTTGCAAAAACAGTACTTATTACATGCAGTGTACTCTGGCACATTCCACTATATTTTAATGAATTGTCATTCACAGTTTGAAAGACATTGACCTTAGACATTTAGTTTTTGAACTTTTGTATGCACTTAGGGAATAACACAAAGATTAGAGATGTTCAGTGTGAAGCCTCAGGTCACACTGTCATTGCATCTCAGCCAATAGAGCTCACTTGATTAAGTCTTGACTTGTTCTGCCTTGATAGCAGATCAGATCTAGAGGCAGAAATTAAGTGGGGAAAGTTTCTCTGACTTTCCAACCCAGAACAGAGGTAACTGAATTTGGCTGCTAGTTGTTTGTTTGGGTACCAGGTATTGAGCCACATCCCTGACCTTGTTTTGTATTTTATTTAGAGACAGGGTCTCACTGAGTTGCTCAGCACCTTGCTTTTGCTGAGGCTGGCTTTGAACTCATGATCCTCCTGCCTCAGCCTCAGGGGCTGCTGGCACCCAACTGCTGGTTTGTTTTTAACGTAACAAACCTTAAAAAATTGAAAGATAAAAAGTACAGCTAAAAATTTCTTTTTATAGCTACGAGAAAAATATAGTTTAGGTAATCCTTTTGTATTATATAGAGTAAGTCTTTTAAAACACTGGTGAAATGATTTATTAAACCAGCATTGAAAGAAATTAAGGATAAAAAATTGCACTCATTTCTCTACTATGATAATATAGTAGTTCTGTCCCCCTCCCTTTTTTATCCATATATACCAATATTTTTTACATAACTGTGCTTCTTGTTTATATAGTTTTTTTTGTTGTTGCTCATTTAATACTGTTTTGTATTTTTTTCCTGTTTGATAGTCTTTATAATTTGAATTATTAATATTACCCTAATATTTCAGAGTGAGTCAGCCTAACTAAACCAACAGATGATTTATTTCCAGTTATAAAAATAATGCTGCAAAGTGTTGATTACTTAAAATCCTTTATATAACTTTTTGTCTTCCATTCATTGGGTTAAGAGGAAGCCTAATAGGTAGGCCAGGGATCTGGATCTGGACTGGGAATTTTTGCCCCACTTATGTTTGAATTTGGCCTTCCAGTTTCTGTATGCTAGAGCAACAGTGATCAACTGTGGTGTTCTTTATACATATGAGTTAGGCTGAATGTATTTTTTCCACTAATAAGTATAGACATTTTCAACATGATTTACTTTTAAAAAAGCGTGAATCATAGCAGGTCCAGGCAGATTCAAGTGCCATAATAACACTCACACTGATTAAATTTCTTTCTGACTATCTTTTCCAAAGGTTATTTGAATGTGTATTATTTTTTAATATAAAATATTTTATAAAGCAGCCAATTAAATTGATTAGAAGAATAAAAGTTATAATTGATCTATATTAGCACATCTCCCTCTTCAAAGCACACATATTGTCTTACTTTCTGTCATTTTCAAACATTAAGTAGTCCTTTTTGTGTGGGGTGGGTGATGCAGTGGGCGGGGAGATACTGGGGATTGAACCCAGGGATGCTTTGCCACTGAGCTACAACCCCAGCTCTTTTTAGTTTTTATTTTGAGACAGGGTCTCACTAAGGCCTCAATAAGTTGCTTAAGGTGTCAATAAGTTGCTGAGGTTGGCCTTGAACTTGGAATCCTCCTATCCTCAGTCCCCCTAGTGCTGGAATTATAGGCTTGTACCACCACTGTGCTGGGCATGCTGGGCTAGTAGTTCCTCTTTTTTAAAAGTATGAAATACTTCAAAGAAAAAAACACAGAGACCATTTTAACACCCACCAAAGATTTAACAACTATTAAAAATTTGCTATATTTTTCTTAGATGATGATTTTTTTTTTAGGTGCTGGAGATTGAACCCAAGGCCTCACTTATACTAAGCATGGATTCTACCAGTGAGCTACACCTGCAGTTCCTTGTTTGTTTGTTTTTTTAAGAACTAAAACATTATAGCAACTACTTAATATCACTTCCCAGTCTCATTTCCTTCCCATTGCAGTGATAATTGTATTTATGTAGTTAGTATATATTTTCCAGTGTGTGTTTATAAGTTCACTATGATGGGCCCATAAATGATTTGTAATATTTTTGTGTCTCCAAGGTTTACATAAATGGCATACTGTACTTATTCTTCTGCAACTTTTTATGGTCAATATTGGTTTTGAGATTTAAATGCAAGTAGCTATTTTTATTGCTATATAGTATTCCATTGTATGACTATACTATTTTTTTTTAATTTATTTTTAGTGCGTTATAGATATATCTAACAGTGAGGTTCATTTTGACATATCCATTAATGCATTTAATGTAGTTTTATCCACTTCAGTCTCAAATACTTCCCCCTTCTCTGCCCTTCTCCCTTCACTGATCCCCTTCCTCTACCCTATTGGTCTTCCATTTATGTGTTTATTTATTTATTTTTTTTAAAAAAATATTTTTTAGTTGTAGTTGGACACAATACCTTTATTTTATTTATTCATTTTTATGTGGGGCTGAGGATTGAACCCAGCGTCTCACATGTGCTAGGCGAGCGCTCTACCACTGAGCCGCAACCCCAGCCTGTTATGTGTTTATTTTTTAATTGATAAATTATAGTTGTATACAAAACTGGAATATATTGTAGTATAGTCATACTTGTACCTAATATAATTTGGTCAACTTCATTCCTCATTTTTCCCCTTTCCCTTCCCTCTTTCTTCCCCCTTGGTCCCCATGCTTCCACTCTACTGGTTTTCCCTTCTTTTCTTGTGAGATCCCCCTTTTTATTTCTCTTTTTCTCTTTAGTTTCTGCATATGGGAGAAAACATTCAATCCTTGACTTTCTGAGTCTGGTTTATTTCACTTAGCATTATGTTCTTCTGTTCCATTTATTTACCAGCAAATGTTATGATTTTATTCTTCTTTATAGCTGAGTAAAACTCTCTGTGTGGGTATGATATACATCATATAATATACATCACACACACACACACACACATATATGCACACACAAATACATTTTCGTTTTCTTTATCTATTTGTCTATTGGTGGGCACCCAGGTTGGTTCTATAACTTGGCGATTGTGGATTGTGCTACTGTACATATTGCTATGCATGTATCACTATAGTGTGCTGATTTAAGTTCTTTTGGATAAATACCAAGAAGTGGGATAGCTGGGTCATATGGTGATTCTATTCCTAGTCTTTTGAGGAATCTCCATATTCCTTTCCAAAATGGTTGTACTAATTTGCAGTCCCACCAACAATGTATATGTGTACATTTATCCCTACATCCTTGCCAGCAGTTATTTGTGTTCTAGATGATTAGAACTGACTAGAGTGAGAAGGTGGGATAAAATCTTAGTGTAGTTTTGATTTGCTTAACATGCAAAGCTATAGTTTTGTTAATTTTAAGATTCTATAGTTAGGATGTTTGGATAAGTAGAAGCTACTAGAAGAGGACTAGAGGTTGACAGGAAGAACTCAACAAGGCAAAGACAGCTTTTCTACTGATAGCCACAGATTTTGAGTATAGGCCTGTTTTCTAATTTTAAATAAGATAGTGATATGCAGAGGAATGCTAAAGTGTACTAAGATCCTGTTTGTTAAAAAGGATAGAGAATACTAATTGACTTCAGGCTTTGTTAGAAGAACATGAATTTTTGCCTGTATCCTTAAATAATTCAAGAGAACTCACACAAATTAATATTATTAAAATATATAACTTGTAAACCTGGTGAAAATTAAGGGAATTAAGAAAATTCCATCAATCCAGATATGCAAAAAAGATAAAAAATGCATAGAGTATGGCAAATACAAAACACAATGTAAGATGGAAGAAAAACCCTATTATATTATTCACAATAAAACCAAATAAGTTAAACTTGTCATATTGGTTTGAATAATTTCAGTTCTGTATGCTATTTACAAAAACTACACTTAAAATGACACAGAAAAGTTGATTGGAAGAGGATACACTAGGCAAATACCAACCAAAATAAAAATGATGAGGCAATATTAATGTTAGACAAAATATGCTTTAAGGCAATTTAATAATAAATAGGCACTTTGTTTTGGTGTATAGAAGAAAATCTACCAAGAGACTATCAACCATGAACTTCAATATATGCTCCCAACAACATAGTCTTGAAATATACAAAGCAGAACAATAGAATTATAATTAGAAATTGATCATTCATAATAACAATGTGAGTCTTTTAAAAACACCTTTGTCAGAAACTAGTTAAGCAAAATAGATTTAAAAAATAAACAAGAATATGAACAATTTAAAATTTAAATTAGATGAAAAGAAGCATATAATGTTATGTGAGACATGTAATATAATATTATAATTTATAAAAACATAACATGTGCAACCTAGGAGGGTGGTGCATTTGGGAATACAAAATTAAATACAAGTGCTTTTGTTCTGCTCAATATGCTTCCCTGTCTGTATACCTTCCAGGACTGAATTACTACACTTGAAATCATCATTTGGAGCTCACATTTTAAAAACTTTAAGATGTGTACATGACTTAGAAATAAGTATGTTGTAACTAATACATTCAGTATTGTACTTTAGACTTATTCTTGGGAAGGCTTTTCATTATAACCTTGATACTAATACTATTCAAGTTATTATTTCTCATTAATTTTAAGTGGTATACATGAATTTCATATTTTAACATTTTTGAAATGGAAATGAGCCTGCCAGTTGATAGTGTGTTTTGGCTAGGTGGTAGCTGTGACATGATAATTGTTCTTGCATGCACAAGTGATATGAAAATGTCTACACTCAAAACTTGTATGATGAACAGCTGGGGTGAAAATTCCCTGAGACAATGTGGAATCATCTTTAACTCCAAGAAACCGGTAATTGTGGGGAAGAGAATGGAGAAGGTAGTAAATTAGATTTAGTTATCAATATGATGAAATGAAGACAAAAGGTGACTTACGTATACATTTGCAAAACCAGCTTAAGAGAATAGCAAAAATGACTTTCTTTTTCTTTTTTAAAGAAAAGCTGCTTCAATCATGTTCTTGGTGACTTAGGAGACATCCAAGAAATTGGATTTGCAAAATGGATTAGGAATATGAAGTCTAGAGATAACTTAACCAAGTTACTTGGCTTATGCTTTTTTAAAATGTATGCATGTTTGATTAAATTCTATGCTGACAATAAAAATTATTTTGAAAAGCATAAAAAATTAAGTGATAAGGAATTATGACAGGTTGATATTTTTTCCCTTCCTTTCTTAGTAGTACACAAAATAATAAGACTCAGCTTTGTTGAAATATTTTTGAAACTGATTACTTAAAATTACCTTTCCCAGCTATTGTGTAAATATTAATTTTGGGCACATCTGATTCCATTAATCTTGACTAGGATAGGGTTATAAATTCACAGTGATTTTCCCATAACACTTTAAGATATTTTTTCTATTGTTTTCTAAGATTTATTGTTGATAATGAAGAAGCTGATGTCAATCTGGCTGTTACTACTTATTAGGTATTTTTTTTGTCTTTGATAACTTTCAGATTTTTTCCCTATATTTAATATTCCAGTTTTTAAATATATTGTATGTAAGGAGATATGTGTGTTTGTTTGGTAGTGGTGAAGGGTTGCTTGCTTGCACTTGGTGACCTTTTTAATCTGAGAACTCATTTTCAGTTCTAGCAAATTCACTTATAAACCCTTTGAATATTGTTTCTGCCATTCCATTTTTCCTTCTATATTCCTTCCTGATATATATTGGACCATCTCTTTCCCCTTCCTTCCTTCCTTCCTTCCTTCTTTCTTTCTTTCTTTCTTTCCCATACTTTTATCTGCCCTGTGATCTGACAGTTTCTTACAGTTCACTGATTTTTTTTTTTCTTTTCAATTGTGGCTAGCCTATTATTTAAGTCTATTTCTTGAGCCTCTTTCTTTCTTTCTCCCCCACCCCCAGTACTGGGCATTGATTTCAGGGGTGCTGTGCTGCTGAGATACATCCCCATCCCTTCTTATTTTTTGAGACAAGGTCTTACTAAGTTGCTTAGAGTCTAAGTTGCCAAGGCTGGCCTTGAACTTGTGATTCTCCTGCCTCAGGCTCCGAGTTGCTGGGATTACAAACATGCTAAACCTCTTTATTTGTAATACTAAAATCCATTTCTTGGATTTTTCTTGACTCTTTTTAACATTTGCGTATTTGTTTTATGGGTGCTGTTTTTTATCTTGAGTTCGTTAAACATATTAAACATTTTAATGTGCCATTCAGATCACTCTATTATCTCTAATTCCTTAGAAGAGAGTTCTCTCAGTTTTAGTATCTTAAGATGGCTTAAATGTTTTATCATTCTTGTCTATAAGTTTATCTTCTTGGGGCTTTTTTTTTTTTTTTTTGACCAAGTGTGACCTAGGAAGTGGACACATCTCTATTGAGTGATATCATGGGTAACCTGCCTGGACTCTGGAGGTTTCATCTATTCCTAACCAGTTTTCATGTTAACATCTTAGCTTGAAGTTTTCATACCACAAAGGTAAATTGAATTCAGGCCATTTTTGCATATGTTCTGCATTGGCTTGGGGTTCCCACATGTCTCCCCAGTCTTTTCCACTCTCCTATAGATGTTTCCCAGATGTAAGCTTCACTAAGTTTCTGCTCATTGAAGAGCCAGTAGCTTTACCCTGTGGCTTTAAACATACTCGGTTCAGCATTTTATTTTCAGGTGTTAGGGCACATATCTCTTTCAGGTCTTCTGCTTTGACTCCAGCTGCTAGATAATTCTTTTTAGAAAAATCTTTGCTTTGCAATTAAAAATGTTTTTATTAAATGATTTCTTTTTTAAAATATTTATTTTTTTAGTTGTAGTTGAACGCAATACCTTTATTTCGTTAATTAATTTATTTTATATGGTGCTGAGGATCGAACCCAGG